GTTTTAAGATGAATGTAATCTGATCTTATTAATGAGGAGCAGAAACCTATTTATAGAGGTTTCTGAAATAACAAACTAACAGTAACTTCAAGTTATTGTGCAGTAAAAGGAAAAATACAAATGATCATAACCTACCAACCACGTTTACAACCTTATAACTCAAACAAAGACATCTTTGACTACATCACTTTATAGAACACTTAAAATTGCTTTTATGAAAATTCATCCCACACTCACTAAAAATGTGACTTAATCCAACAACTTACTTTTAGTGGGTAATAAGGTTGGAAAATGATTTTTCATTCTACAAGATGATAGTAGTATGTTTAGGAATGCTTTGGGACCATTCTAAAGGTACATTTACAATCCAAAAACATTGTCCATCATGTTTTGTTGTTGAAAAAAAAAATTTTGAAATTTCACAAGCAGTTCTTAGAACTTCTAGAGCATGAGACGAGTGTTTCTCTCAAGAGTACTTCAAGGAAATGCTTCTTTCAAAGGCATTACTCTTAAAAACTCTCTCAACATCACCGTGCACCTTGTTTTGGAATAGAAAGATTACCAGTATCACCAGCTCGTAATTGCATGGACTGTATGCAAGGGGTGACGCCCTCCAAAACATACATTCTGCTGTTGTTGTTAGGCCAAAATCTGAACTGAAAAGTCCATTCATTCCCTTTCACATCTTGAATCCTAACAGGAAGACCTTCTGATTGAGAGATAGGGGGGAAATATGCCTACAGTGCAATTTGAAAAGGAGCTATATCAGAGCAGGAATACCCCAATAAAATATTTGCAACATGAATAATGAAAATAGAAAACATAAGGAGGTGACCAAAGAAAGAAAAGAAGCAATTCTTACTTCAGCACATGCTTTTGGCAGAACCAAACGACCAATTCGGCCAGCATCACTAGCACTCAACACCTTTTCAAAAAGTGGAACAATAGTAGAATTCAAACTAAATATGTTAAGGTACGCGATAGATTTGAATAATAGGTAAATGAAAGCAAAAGCGTAATTGCAAAAGCAGATGCCATCAAAACATAATGAACAACAAAACTGAGAAGAAAAAGGATACTCTCCAGCTAATTGTTCTAGCTCTTGGTCAGTAATCCTTGGCCAGTACCGTGGAAGAAGTTGATTCTTACCCCGACCTTCAGCAGGTGGCCGAGCAATACGCACCATAGGCACCATTCCCTTTCTTGCTTCGGAATTAACTGTTGCCCCGGTTTTTAAGGGCTTAGGAAATATTGGACGAGATCTTTGACCCTGTTGAAATGAAGGCAGAATGCTCTTTTCATCCTCTTCAGCAGCACTTCCTGAAACAGGTACCACAAAATTCGGTGCACCTGATGGAACTCCCAGAGTCATATTTAACGATGGCCGGCTAAGAGATTCTTGCATATCTTTTAGTTCTAAGAGTGGTCTGCTAGTATCTAGTTTGGAATACATTATTGAACCAACAGGTGGTTGGCGTTTAACAGATAGTTTAGTCATGTTAAAAAAGCTTGTTCCAACTTCCTCAAATGGGCTCCGGAAATTTTCTCGTTTGTTCTGCACAGGAGATGCAATTCTGTCAACTCTTTGAGGTTGCTGAAAATGGTCGGTTTCACTTGCCTCCATGATGTTACACAACTGTAAAAGCTTTTCCTCATTAATACCATTTCGAACCGCCCGGTCCTCAACAGAACCAGATTGCAGAAGGCCAACATTACCAACTGTCACTGCATCAAAGCCATTAGAAATTTCATCTCTTCGGATCTGCAATAAAAAGTAATAGAATTCCATATGAACCCATGCTGCACTTATTACAGAAAAACAATAGTGAACTGATACGTGCAAGCCTTACTGTCACATCAATGTGTGCATGCTGACCAACCCTCTTTAAATGGACAGGAAGATTTGTGATAGCAAAAGAAAATTAAGTGGCAGGGCTGCAGTATCCCAAAAAATTCAGCAATACATTTTCTGAAGATATATTTTTCTCTGGCCATATCATATGTGTGCGACCACAGAAAATTACATAACAGGGCTGCAGCATTTCAACAAATTGAAAAAGATAGTTTCTGAAGAAAAAAAGAAGACTTCTATTTATATAAAAATGAAAGAGGCCAGTTGGAAGAAAGCCTCTGTGATTGAATTCTCCAATGCAATCATTGTCTGTTCTTCATAACCTAGAGCAACTATTCATTTGAGAAGGATTTTTCCTAAAAGGAAAAACATTACGGTAGGCTTTTCTGGAGGTGTTTGGGACTGGTTTCAGCATCCCACAGAGCCAAAGGGTGGAAGATCCCAAAAAATAAGTTTTAAAAAGTAATATGTGTGTGCGTACGTATACATGAAGGACAAAGTTGCAGCAAAACGGTAATGTTCACATTTCACCAACACAGTCATAAGTCTATAAAGTATCATCAAAAGCACTAACTAATTATATTGCAAATGAGCAGCCATTTCGTTTGTGTTAACTAAAAGTTCATTTTATCTGAATTTGGATATGCTAGTAGCAATAAGGAGCAGCATCCAAGCAAGCAGAAAAACTGAAGTAAAATCTAACTGTAATCAGAAGCTTGCCAACTCCAAAACCAATCTTACCGCATCAAGTTGAGATCTCTTCACACAGCTAGTACACCCAACACCTCCATAATCCAGACATTCAAACAAAGACTTCGAAGCTATACATCCACAGTGAATTCTCTGCAATAGAAAGCAAGTTTTATATGTAAGGTAAGGTCACAAGAAAATGGAGATAGATAGATACCTACACGGCTACATACATACATACACGCACATACATATATATTGAGACAGAGAGAGAACTTAAAACTAAAGGTCATTACCAGTACATTTGTTTACCTTGCCACAAAAACTGCAATCCCTCCAACCAGTCTCCTCCGAGTGATATGTATCACAGAAGATCAAATTTTCATAAGCAGATCTAAATCACATGAAGTATCAAGAGAAAGTGAAGTGATTAGAAGATGGAAACTAAGTGGTTAGAATATAGTGACACCAATTTAAATATAGCAGAAAACTCCAATTTATAGATCTCTTTATACCGTATGAGTGATAAGTAACTGAAAATTATGGGAAAGAAAAATAGTAGCCAAGATGAATCCCTCATAGCATATAATAAAAGGTTTAACAGCCTCGGACACTAAATAACGTGGGTACAAGAGACCAACCAAAAAAAGAAGTTGAAAAACAATTAACGTAAATAAATAAACAGGCAGTGTAGCCCATTTTAAAGTAACAAAATAACAAACACCATTATTAGTTATTAAAACTTAAGCTCCAATATCTATAGCGAGATTCATATTATGAGATATAAACTAAGTGGGTGGCAGTAAAAAGGAAATAAAAAACATTTTCACCATTATGGAACTCTGTTATAAAGGATTCTTTGATCTGTAATAGGGCTTTCCATGGCCAATGAATATCAAACATACCCCTCTTCTAATATAGAATTAAAAAATAGAAAATATAAAAGAAAAAAACTCAATTTCGGTAATTTTAATTGGTAAATAAAATAATAGAAATTAAATACCATAAGTATGTATATACATATACATATTATCGTTCTGGATCCTCAACTTTAAACAACAAATTTTTACAGAGAGAATGTGGAAGCGTTATCCAAATTCCAAGGGATGTCCATTCTTTGAAATAAAAACTCTGATCTAACCGGTCGATGTGGATTGAGCATCTTATGCTTCACACATTCAAATTGGACAAGGAATGGTATGAGATCAATTAAATATAATTCAATGTTTGTGAATCGAATTCATATTCAATTTCACCAATTCTTTTTGTTCATTAGAGGTATTGCGTTATGATGTAATATTGTACTAGGGCCATCCAGTTCAATGAAAATTGTTTCGAGGAACAAAATCGTTACTGATACCTATTCATAAATCGGAGAGATTAATTAATTGAACAAAATCCAAATGAGAAATCTAGATACGAGGACGTAACAAATTTCACGGAAAGAAAAAGAAAAATGGAAGGGTAGTTTTGAGGGGGAGATGGCCAGTATATAAAATCGGAACATCCGATAAACCAACAAAACCGAAAGAGAAAGCAATGCAGCGAATCAATACACATTTGCCCAAAGTGCCCCCGCAAAAACGAAATCAAATCAATAACCACCAAGAAAACAAAATTACCCGCATTTGAGGCAGAGATGTGCGAATCCGGCGGATCCGAGAGGCCATCCTTTGGTCCAGTCGTGCGGCGTGGCGGCTCCGCAAGAAGTGTTCATGCAGCGGTTGGACCCCATTGAAGAGAGATCAAGTGGAAAGGGAAAGAAAACGAAACCCTAAAACCCCTTTTGACCAGAGCGTCAGAGAGCGAGAATAATGGAGAAACAGAGATGCGGCCATGTAGCGATTGAGGAAACAGGAACAGGAACGGGAATTGACACTAAGATGAGCTCCGAATCCGAATCTGGAAAGAAGAAAGACGAGAGAAGGAACATCTGAAGAGCTGAATTCGCAGAGAGAGAGAGAGAGAAGCCAACGTTGCAATGAGCGTGGGAGTTGGAGGAATAAGTCGAAATTCAGCGCTGCTTGCTTCTTAGTTCTTAGAGAGAGAAAGAGATAGTGAGAGAGAGAGAGTGCATGCAAAGCAACAGATGCATAAAATGCATGCACGACACTTGAAGACACGGCGCTTAAGAAGTCGTCTCCTTGAGCTGAGCTAACCTCTCCCCTCTCTTTAGTCTTTTCTTTTTCTTTTTCTTTTTCTTTGGTTAAGTCTCATTTTGGCTCTCTGTGTCTGTGTCCGTGTTTTCTTTCTTTTTGGATACTCATACCCTCACCCTTCGGTTCCCTTTCCTCACCCCCCATCTCACCAACCTTCCCTGCAACTTCTTTTAGATTGCTGCCACGTGCCATATCTGCAGCTGCAGGGGCAGTTAATTTAAATCAACTCTGTGTGTAAGTAAGTGTGTGTAGTGTAACACATGAAGAAGAAGATAATATTATGAATTGCTTGCGACAATATCGAAGTTTGGCTGGAACAGTTGTCCGTCTCTCACCCCTCACCCTCGCTGTGTTTTTAGCATCTCTCTCTCTCTCTCTACCAGATGGGCCAAATTATGAACATTTGGAATATTGGTTCATTAAATTAATTAGCAAATTGCGACGGAAACCCTGTATTATTTTTTTTAATCAACAGTGGAGGAGGAGCTATCATATAGAGTAGAAATTCGCAATATTGTATTGTTGTTGACTTTATTGAAACTTGTATGCTTAATGTTACATTATAATTTGATTATTAGCATGCTATGTCAATTACTTAGGTGTTGATGGGTGGAGTGGAGGCTAATTTTAAAATAATTATTGAAATTTTTACTTAAATATCATATTTTCGTTAATTAATTAATAGGACTTGATTACTAATTATATATTACTAATACTGTGAAATGGTTAATTTTTTAAATAACTAAAGTCTTATATGATAACTTATTTTGTTTTGGGTTTTCTATTTTGAAAATTAAGTTTTTAAATACTATTTTTAGAATGTATTTATTTATTTTATTATCCATATTTTGAAAACGATTTTAAAATTGAAGCCAATTTAATGTGTTCTCAATAAATCTATGAGAGATTATTTGTAATATAACTCTAGTGAGAAAACTAGAAAGAAAAAAGAAAAACAAATAAATTTGGTAAGAATTGAAATATGTATTTTAAGGAGTTTGTATTTTTTATAAAATAAAATATATATATATATATATATGTATATGTATATGTATATGTTTTTACGTGACTTTGGATCAACAACTTGATCTTGTGTGCACTTGGGCATGACTAAAATTTCATATCAACTGAGAGAAGAAGATCATGAATATATAAGTAAAGATAACTATTGTTATGCAATGGAAAATCGACAAAAGGCCAAGCTACAGAGGAACGAGGAAAGCGACCTGTGGGGAACCAACCGGGCCGAGCAGGGCTCGGTCCCGACCCCTACTCAGCCCCGAATCGGGCTCGGTCTACGGCCCAGCCCATCAATCTCCCGCCTGCAATCAACGATTCCCCTCGGGCCCTTAGGGTTTGGCTACGGAAGGTTCTGGAATCATCTTCACAGTTATAAGTAGCAGTGAGATCCAACCCTGAAAGGCAAGTAAAACATCTTCAGTTCATTGGTTTCTCAACTTTCCCTTGCTAACTTAGGTATCGGAGCCCCGTGTGACTAAGGTCACACCGGTTTAGCTCGATTTGGTTTTGTATGTATCATCCCCGAATTATCGAGTTAGGTGTGTATGAGGGGGAGAACCGGAGGACCGAAATTCACACATCAACAATTAGCACTGTCTGTGGGAAAGATTTAAGACATTCAGTCGAGCAACATGACACTCGAAAGGAATTCACGATGCTCTGATGACAACTGCTCTGTCAAGAGGAGGTTGAACTTGGACGACCCCCAGGTCGGAGGACCCGAAGATGGGACCAGCCGATCGAACCCGAAACGTCAGGAAGGGCTGCTCGAGGCGCATGTAGTAACGACCAACCCCTAAGCCACTCCAAAAACAGCTCGTGGCCCTAGAAGACAAGGTGGAGGGCATGCTTCAACGCATGACTCAAGTCCTTCAATAATTCGAACAACAAAAGCCCGATGAGATACCCTTTATCAGATACCCCAGGAAACGGAAGGGCCCAGCACAAAGTGAGACTGAAGCGTCAACAAACAGTGTAGGGAGCAAGCTGAGGATAGGTGGAAACACCAGACGACGAACCCGGATTTTCGACTCCCAAAAGAGCAAAAAACAGCAAAAATCCCCGATATCAAATGGGGGCAAGAACAACCAGGATAACCGAAACTCTGAGCCGATAGACCTCGACAAAGATAAACCGACGGATCAGCCAGAGTTATCGGAGAAGTGACAAAACCAAAAGGAGGAGGGGTTCGACCTCGAAGAACTACTGGATCAGGCCGACTCACCATTTACGGAGGAGATCATGAAGGAGAGGTCCCTCCAAAATTCAAGCTACCCACGGTAAAGCAGTTCGACAGGATGGCCGACCCAGTGGACCATATAGATGCTTATCGAGAATGGATGGATATTTACGGGGTGTCAGAGGCGGTCAGATGCCGGGTGTTCTCGACCACATTGAACGGGTCGGCCAGAATATGGTTCCGACAATTAAAACAAGGTTCAATCTCGAGCTTCAAAAGCCTGACTAGGGTGTTCGTAACCCAGTTTGTAGAAGGACGAAGTCGGAGCCAACTCGTGGCTTATCTTTTAACTATTAAACAAAGGGCGATAGAGAGCCTACACGACTATGAGGCTCGGTTCAACAAGGAAAAGCTGCAGGTGGAGGGCCTCACAGACGATGTATCTCTACTGGCCTTCATGTCTGGTATCATGGATGAGCACTTATCATTCTCGTTCGGGAAGAAGACACTGAGCACTTTCTCGGAGGTGCTGAGCCGAACTCAGAAGTATATGAGCACTGGTGAGTTCTTTTACTCAAAGAGGGAGCCAGAAGGAAAACGGTTCGACTAGAAGAGAGAGAGGTTGAGAGATAAGCCACAGGGGTCGAGATGGGAGAAAAGAGATCGGAGTAGCCAGAAAGATCCACCCCGAAAATTTGAAAAGTATACGCCAACTACCATTCCACTTGAGCAAGTACTAATGGAGATCACTGACCAAAGGTTGCTCAAATGGCCAGAGAGGATGAAGGCACCTCCGACTAAAAGAAGCAAAAGTCGATATTGCCTTTTCCACAGGGATCACGGCCATGCAACTCGGGATTGTTTTGACCTCAAGGAAGAGGTGTAAGGGCTCATTCGGAGGGGGTACCTCAAAGAGTATGTAGAGGACTCTAAAGCGACACAAAACGACGAGAACGACAAGTCACCTGCTCGAGAGATTCGAACGATAATGGGAGGCCCAATAGAGAAAGAGTCCGGGAGAAAAAGAAAGGCAAACGTACAAGAAGCTAGGGCGAGCCTCGGACAAAGTGAGGTCTACCATGCATATGTTGCGGACCGGTCTACAAAGATCGAGTTTTCAGAGGACGAGGCGACTCACCTCCTCCACTCGCATAACGATGCGCTGGTTATCACCTTGAAAATAGCCAATGCAAAAGTGCATCGAATTCTGGTGAATGAGGGCAGCTCAGCAGATATCATCTCCTTGACAACCTACAAAGCAATGGATTTAGGAGAAAAGGTGCTTAAGAGCAGCCCGGCACCATTGATAGGATTTGGAGGAGAACGGGTCATTCCCGAGGGGATAATAGAGTTGCCTGTAACGTTCGGAAGTGGGCCAAAAAGTATCACCAAAATGGTGGACTTTTTGGTCGTCAACTACACCTCCTCCTACAATGCAATATTGGGAAGACCGACAATACACATGCTCAGAGCGATACCATCCACATACCACCAGTCCATGAAATTCCCAACACCTGGTGGAGTAGAAGAAATTAAAGGAGAGCAATGAGTGTCGCGTGAGTGCTACTACAGTTCAATGAGGGGCAATGACAAGACTTCTACTACGGGTGGCCATTGATTTTTTTCTTTCCTCTTTCCCTTCAAGTATGATAGATTTAAGATTGTTTCTTCTTCTGCTTTTAACAAGATTTCAGATTCTTGTTTCTTTTATATATTCAATAAAGTATCTATTATCCGGATTCCCAATCAACTCTGTTTTTTAATCCAAAACTGGATGTCAAGTGACTTTGATAAAACACCTTGCCTCGTCTATAAACATACTCTCAATGAGCAAATATCGACAATACACTACCTTGAGAGTATGAGGCAACATGGCTATAAGATAAATGACATGTCATGATCAGAATACTCGGCGACACAAGTTGGTAAAACCAGCTCAAGCTGAATAGGGCTCGGATCCGACCCCTGCTCGGCACTGACCAGGGCTAGACCTGTTGCCAAATTCGACTTTCTTCGCTTCTATTACTTAAGGTGCGATGAGCACGAACCTACATTAATCGACAAATTCAGAAAGAACAATTAAACAATCTCAACACGGCCAAATCAGAAGCGGGTCGATTGATCTAGCACGGTTAAAACATAAGATGGAGTAAAGGCCAAACGACAGCAGGTATAAAACCATTGACTATAGCCAAAGGGTTAAAAACCTATGAAAATGAGGCAACAAAGTCAACTCCATCAAGGTTAGAGCCATAAGCCAAAAATTGTTGGTAACAGAGGGTTAATTGATGATTCCAAAAAGAAATACAAGCGAAGATAGTGACAAAGCAACACCATAAAATTCGTAAAAACGCTAAACACAAGCAAAGCATCTCGCTACCTTCTCAGGCTACTATACTACTCGTCGTCATCGTCATCCATGTCGTCAAGAGCGTCACGCTCATCTCTAAAATGCTCCGGTGCTTGTTAGAAACTTGGCGAAGGGACTAGGAAATGCCGCACTCCATGGCAGAATTTTGCAGATTGACGTACTCTTGAGTTTTTCTGAATTCCCCGGCCAAGAATTCAGAATTAGAGAGCCGGGTGTTGGCCTCATCAAGCCTCCTCTGCAGGTTGGCCAGCTCATCTCGAGATTTTCTCTTCTCCGTTTCCAACTCACGTTGGGTACTCTCCAGAAGACTGTTGGCTTGGTTCAAGGAAGAAAGAGCCTGATTCAACTCTTCCCGAGGAGCATAGTGGCAGCGGAGGTGATTAATTTTATCGGCAACCAGACCTAAGAATACCACTAGACTAATGAAAACCCGCCAATGACAGAAACCGATGTTAGGGAAAGATGCTATGACAAATACTTGAAG